TGTTTTTGTAGAATGGGTAAAAGTCTTCAGAAATATATCTTATTATTTATTTAGGATTCTTTTAACAATAACCCTAACAATCGTTATCTATTTTTCTCCAGGCGCTGACATGGGAGGTATGCGGCAGACTATTTTATGTGATGAATAACTTCAACCAACCACCAGTCATTTCCATCTTATGAACAAGGAGAGATTGAGGTGTCCTTTAATTGGATCCTACAGATGGAATCTATCACACTTGACATCAACACAATTGGGCACCTGGAATCTGGTTACCTCACAGATACTGTTTTTATAAATCTTATTACAAATATAAAAATGTATTTTTATTTTGGTGTAAGTCAATATTTAAAAAATACAAGTTGATCCTACCAGTTTCTCATCTTTCTGAGGTCGTATTTAATAAGGTGACCACAAGATCCCAATGCCGCGGGAGCGTGGTCACCCTCCAGTGTGAACAACATGCAGCTGTGCTTTCATCCATTCTACTGCAGTTCATGTCCCCTGTTGGTTGCTTGAGAACTGCTCTGACCATTTAGCAGCTAAAACAGAGACTTCCTGTAACTGAACCTTTTGCTGGACAGCTTGGTCTGCTACAGGAAGTGGAAAAACAACCGACAGTAGTTCTCTACGTTGCATAGATAACTCAAAAAAAAGAGACACTGCTGTACTAATACTATTGACAAGATGTATCATAAGGGCTTGAAAAATTTTAGGGTGTCTCACCAGTCAAAAATGTCAACAGTCAGCATGACCGGACTATAGCCTTGCAATTTATGTTAAAATTTTTTTGGGACAGATAGAGCTTTCTTTTGGAGGTATATAAATCACCACTGGGGAGTTTTTATTCATGGCATTATCAAATGTTCCCATGAGATTTTTCAAACGAAAGTTCATACGGAAATATACCAGTGTATGGCCAGCTCAGAAATGGACGGGGACCGATCAGGTTTATTACCAGAATCAGGCCCCGTGAATTTGGATTCTCCCTTTTTCTGGCGATTATACCACAACCAAATCAGGTACGTGTTGTCTATCAGATGTTTGGGGATTGTTTTTGTAGAATGGGTAAAAGTCTTCAGAAATATATCTTATTATTTATTTAGGATTCTTTTAACAATAACCCTAACAATCGTTATCTATTTTTCTCCAGGCGCTGACATGGGAGGTATGCGGCAGACTATTTTATGTGATGAATAACTTCAACCAACCACCAGTCATTTCCATCTTATGAACAAGGAGAGATTGAGGTGTCCTTTAATTGGATCCTACAGATGGAATCTATCACACTTGACATCAACACAATTGGGCACCTGGAATCTGGTTACCTCACAGATACTGTTTTTATAAATCTTATTACAAATATAAAAATGTATTTTTATTTTGGTGTAAGTCAATATTTAAAAAATACAAGTTGATCCTACCAGTTTCTCATCTTTCTGAGGTCGTATTTAATAAGGTGACCACAAGATCCCAATGCCGCGGGAGCGTGGTCACCCTCCAGTGTGAACAACATGCAGCTGTGCTTTCATCCATTCTACTGCAGTTCATGTCCCCTGTTGGTTGCTTGAGAACTGCTCTGACCATTTAGCAGCTAAAACAGAGACTTCCTGTAACTGAACCTTTTGCTGGACAGCTTGGTCTGCTACAGGAAGTGGAAAAACAACCGACAGTAGTTCTCTACGTTGCATAGATAACTCAAAAAAAAGAGACACTGCTGTACTAATACTATTGACAAGATGTATCATAAGGGCTTGAAAAATTTTAGGGTGTCTCACCAGTCAAAAATGTCAACAGTCAGCATGACCGGACTATAGCCTTGCAATTTATGTTAAAATTTTTTTGGGACAGATAGAGCTTTCTTTTGGAGGTATATAAATCACCACTGGGGAGTTTTTATTTTTTTACTATACAATGAAAAAAAGTACCAGAAATTTCAGGGAAAAAAAAAAAAGTTTTCTCCACGTTATGTTAAAAAACATTTATTCTTAACCATATTTTTGATAAAATATAAAAGACGGGGTCACATCAGGTAAATAGACACCAAACATGTCAAGCCTTCAAATTCCGTGTGCCCGCAAAAATCAACCACATAGAAATTTGGCCATAGGCGTAACTTTATTGCTATCACATAGGGGATAAGAAGCTCCCTATGTGATACCCAATTTACATGACATTGTAATGTTCCCCATTATAATCCACTTGTCTAATTAAATGAAATAACAACACACAGTGTGCAGTTACACCCGAACCCCCCCTATTCGGGCACAGCAGGGGGTGGGGCACGTGACACACACTTCTCCTCTCCCGCCATCTGTTACTAGGGACGCGGCTGAGAGAGGAGGTGAGTCACAGGACCCGTCTCCTTGCTGAGAAGCCCCTCGGCAGGGCCCCGGGCCCCTGCACTGCTGCATATTCTACCGGGGGGGGGACCAGGACCGGAAGGAACTCACTGGGCCCTCCCACAACCTGAGGCCCTGGCGGTAGTTCCGCCCCTAGACAGCTAGCCGCAGCAGAGGGATAAAAGAGCCACATGCGGCTCTGGAGCCGCGGGTTGCTGACTCCCTGCAATAGGCAAACAGCTAACAACTGATCATCCCTTGAGCTCTGCTTTCAGAAATTCAGCTATGACAGTGGATTTCCTATGTTGACATCCGACAGGTTTCATTTCAACTTTTAGCACATAAGAAGTCAAACAGAAAGCAGTTCTGAGCAAGCACTAGAGACCACAATCAAGTAAATATACCAAGGACACTTGAGATCATTCCTCCCAGGTTTCTGAGAGGCAATGATACTTTTAACTAAACAAAGTATATTTTAACATTTGCTTTGTAAATATAAAATACCTCTAATGATTGCTGTCCCATATCCGACGGCTGCTTTCCATTATAAGGGCAGGTTTTACACCATTTTCTGGACCAGATCTGGAACGCAGTGCACTCTGTTTCCCGCGATTGGAATTTGTATTTTTTTTGCTTAAAATGGTCTTACAGGTGCGTTTCAGTTCATTCCAGACCAGACAAAATAGGACAAGCAGTATTTTTTTGGTCTGGAACGGACTGCGCTGGTGGGAACAGAGGCCAGAAATAGCATAGGGATACATTAGGATGCATTTTGGGGCCGGAAACAATCTGATCTGGAGAGGATCCGGACATGGTGTGAATGGGCCCTAAAACCTGTACACCAACGTAAGCCCCAGATGTCCGGTGCTAAAACTTAGTCGCAGCTCTAGTACAGTTCTCATAGCGGGTTGCTCTCTCTCCCTCTCGCCCATTCATAAAATGCCTTGTATTCTCCTGCCACTCCTGTCCCCAAAACACAGAATGAAAAGAATACAAAGACGTTTTATGAATTGCTTAGGTAAAGAGCGAGCGACCTTCTATAAGAACTGTACTAAAGTGGTGAATTGTAGGGGCTAATTTATAAGTTCCTATGCCCCATCTAGTGGCAGGAATGCCGTGCGTAAATTGGCCCCATGGTTTCAGCTCTGGAAGTTCAGCACTTTCAGTGGTGTACGTGATTCAGCAAAGCTGGCCATACACTGCTTAGATCAGGGGTAGCCAAACTCCGGCCCTCCAGCTGTGGTAGAACTACAAATCCCATGAGGCATTGCAAGATTCTCACAGCTACAGACATGACTCTCGGAGAGAGATGCATCATGGGATTTGTAGTTCCACCACAGCTGGAGGGCCGGAGTTTGGCTACCCCTGGCTTAGATTATTAATAGAACTTTCGTCCGAAATAAAATTTCTTTCAAGTCTCCCTTAGTTGATGGGGTGAAATGACCATCCATTTGGACCGTAGTGACGAAAGAACTCAAAAGGCACAGGATGGAAAATGTTTTTCTCGAACGAATTCCTGCCGAAATTGCAGAATTTCGTCATAGTGTATGGCAAGCTGTCATGTGGCAGCATCATATACTGTGACCGCTAATCAGTCGGCTCCTGGTCTCTTTACCCTGCAGAGAGTGGTGGCTGTCAGACACCGCCCACCCCCGCCTGCAGGGACTCCTTCCTCCCTTCTCTGTTCCTCCAGCACTCATTGGAGGAATAGACACGGGAGGGGGTAGGCACAACTGGCTCTAGAGTGGCAGTGGGGTGGATCCTATACTTTTGTCAGGATCTTTCCAGGTTGCCGAGTGGCTCTGTTCTGTCAGCAGATAGCGGGCATTAGTTGCCAGAGCATCCTGCTCAGCTCCTGGCAACCGGTGACATCAGTGAGCTGGGCTGGAAGCCCCACAGACCGTCAAATGTTGCTAAGGGCTCTTAGCAACCTGGGACGCTGTGCCCGCCCCCCCTCCTATCAGCTTTAAAGGAGAACTATGAGGTGAGTGCTTTTCACTCACCTCATAGTTCTAGCCGACCTGTGACAATGAGACTGTCACACGTTGGCTCAGTAGATCGGGAGGTGAGCGAACACATACCGGCGTTTGCTCACTTCTTGATCCTGACACAGCTCTCTGCCGTGACAGGGGAGGGGCTGGATTCCCCCCTCTGATCCGCCAGCGCTGACTGGCGGAACGGACGGGGGAGGGGGCGGGTACAGCTGGCTCTGCCTCTAGATAGGCAGAGCCAGCTGTCACTCACACAACTGGGCGGATCCAGACATAATCCGCTTCAGCGTCTCAGTATACCGCGAGCAGTAGCTCGCGGTATGCTGTGGCGTCTCAGTATACCGCAAGCTGTAGCTTGCGGTATACTGAGCTTAGGGTGACGGGAAGACGCTAGTTTGTGTCCTCCCGTTACCCTAAGGAGAACTATGGGGAAAAGCCTTAACCCCATAGTTCTCCTTTAATATTGAATGTCTGGTGTATCACTTCTAAAAAAGGAGGACCTGATGAAAAGGGGGACAGTTCAGCTCCAGAGCCAATAATCCCACATAGGCTCATCTCTGGGACTGTGAAGGGGTCAGACTTCCTCAGAGCTAAGCCAACCGAGGGGTGTACAGCGCTACCGAGTAGGTTGGAGCCACATAAATTAAACACGAGAGTGAAACGTTACCTGGAGGGGGCGGGGCTCTCCCAGCGATCACCTGCTGCTACCAAGGACCCGGGCTGTGGCTCCTGGAGGCAAGCGGAATTGGTGCGGGGCAGGTGCAATCAATAAATCCGTCCGCCCACACGAAGAACCGGCGCCCCCTACAGGCAGGGCCGAGGAGGGCAGTCACTCCTGCGTGATGTCACGAGAAGACCCTTCGTATCCACCTGCGGAGCCCGGACCGTCCTGGAAATAACCAACACCCGGCAAAGTTTGAGGCAACTTCCGTCAGCTTCGGCGCTCCGCTACGCCCGCACGGCTCCAACTCCGCCGGACAGCCCCGTCCGAAGAACACCGGGCTCCCGGAATATGGCGGAATAACTGTGGTGGCTCTCCCAGCCAATAGCAACCCGCCGTGCCAGAGGGCCGGCCAATCGCGCCGTCCCCGAGCGGCCGTTCTAGCCAGTCAGCGTGGTCGGCAGGAGAGCTGCCTCCAATAGGCTCAGAGTATCAATTACCTGTTGGAGGATTAAAAGGATTAACCAATGAGGGTCAAGCGGATTACACCTGCGGCCAATGAGAGGGCGGGCGAGGACGGGCGGCGGTGCGGGTCAGTAACTGAGTAACTGGAGTTGTGTGTCGGGAGCTGTCAGTGTGAGGAATGCGGAGAGGTTACATCACAGGGCTGACACTCTCCTCACATGTTCCTGGAATTGCTGTGGAATTCACACAGCCTGCATTCCACCGATACACTCATGGGTCATTCATTCACCTGAAACACAGATTCGCCCACATTTCCTAACCTTCCTATCACAGCCAAACACGGTCATTTTAGGTGTACCCGAGCCCGGGCTACATACATTGAATGATATCACTGGGTTGTGTTATTTTTCTTTCTCCGTAAATATTTTGACTAACAGTAAAAATAAATAAATAAAGTAGCAGAACGTAAATATTTTCTTGTTTTCTATTTTCTTTTGCTAAAGAAACAATTGTCATTTAACCACTTGCTGTCCGGAGCAATTCCCTACTATTTGCACACACACATGATCAAATCTGAATTTTGGGCTAGAAAACAGCTTCAGATCCCCAACCAATTATCAATTTTCTGAAAGCAGAGGCCTGTAGAATACAAAAAATGCTAGTTGCAATTTTTTTTATGTCGCACGGTATTTGCGCAAATGTTTATCAAACCAGTATTTTTAGTATAAAATACACTAAAATGAAATGTAGTGCACAGAAATGGACTATAATACCCAATTTTTTGGTAAAATATAAAAGACGGGGTGACGCCGGGTGATTAGATACCAAACATGTAAAGTCTTAAAATTGCATTTGCAATGTGTGCCGGGCCTGAAGAAAAAGTTAGGAAGGCCCAATGAGGAGACTCTGTTGCCCGGCTGGGCTACAGATAGAAGTGAGCCAGGCCGGACGGCTTAGCACTGGCCGATACCTGGAATTTCCCCTTTCCTCTCCTGGTGTGTTTTATGTTGTTCACTCTTTTGCTACTTTGTTTTCTGGTGTCTGTTTTGTCTTTCGTTGTAGATTTCTTAGAAGCGGACCGAAATGGGTCCGGCTTCGTACGACAGTGGGATGAACCATACGGTCTGCCAAATAGTAATGTTTATTTCTTGTTGTTTTATAAATGAAAATGCCACAAGAGTTGGGAAGAAGAGAGTACGATCTAACCCGGGCCATCATCATTTATATATATATATTGGATATTATGTATGTTCGAATACAAAATGAGATGTGTGCACTTCCCTAGTCTTAGCCTTTGCGGTCAGGTTGAATGACTTGGTTTGATGCGAGGCCATGTGGCTCCTATTTTTGCTTATTCTCTCTGTAACCCACCCTCTTGTTCATAAATAAAGAATTAAAAAAAAAAAAAAATGCATTTGCCCGTGAAGCCAGAAAAAACTACAATGCCCAAAATTTCCCATAGATGATGCTTTAAAAGCCTTCACTGCTCATCAGTTTAGTGTTAACAGTGAATAATGGCCCTAGAATTATTGCTCTCACTCCTATGTTTGCGGCAATATGTAACATGTGTGGCGCAATTTTGCACGTAGATACACCCGGCGCGTGTTTGCGTTTGTATGTGGGGGCGGGGGACTTTTAAAAAATTGGCAATTTATATGTGACTACATTTTTTTTTTTTTTACACTCAACTTTATTACTATCACATGGGGGGCTAACATAGCCTCCTATGTAATATCAAATATGATGTGACAGGTCCTCTTTATGGAGACATCAGGTGTCTTTCAGACCCCTGTCACCTAGAGACCCCAAAGAAGCTGATGAAGCAGAGATCTGCTTTACCAGCTTCTTCCCCTGGCTACAGAGCTGATGAATGTAAATAGTGACAGCGGAAGTGTAATACACATCACTTCCGGGTCCAGTAAACGAAAGAGAGATCGGCGGCTGGGAGCTTGCTGATCTCCCTACGATCGGTGACCTGCTGTGCTGGTCCCGGGCCCGTACGAGGGACTGCAGAGCCCAGGGTAGGCGGCGGTGGTGGTGGAGAGGGAGGAGCAGGGGCCTCCCGAGGCCGGGTGTCACCCGGAGCGGAGACCGGGTGACACCCCGACGTGACGTTATTGCACATGCGCTTGACGTCACCATGCACGTACACGATGATGTCATCGCGCATCTAATTGACGCCTGCCAGCGGTCATCTTGGTGATGGAGGGACAGAGATAGGAGGGGACATTCACCCGGCGGGATGAGAGCCCCCTCCTCTCTCCTGACATTGTCGGGCTCTTGGTCCATGACCGAGTGCCCGACTTTTTAGAGGGGGTGACACCAAAATGACTGTCAGTCATTTTGGTGTCACCCCTCTAATGGTGTCACCCGGGTGCGGGCCGCACTCCCCTTGTGACACCACTCGGGGGGAGCACATTCCACCGTACCGGCTGCAACTGAGTACAAACTGAACTGCTCATGTGCAGCTCAGGGCACAATCTACACACGTTTAAGGGCTTGTTCACACCAAATGCAGACAAGAGCTGCATGAGTGTCTGCACAGTGCAGTGTGTTTTTGCCGTGTTCAGACCTGTTTTGTTTTTGTTTTTTAAAAAGCAGAAAAAATAGGGCATGCTGCAGTTTTTTTACATGCTCTGGAACTGAACGCTCTGGTGTGAATTAGAGCCCAAAATACCATTGGAATACATTGGACGCAGTTTTTATCCGTTCTGTAACTGCTCTGCATTTGCTCCGCGCTTTAAGTGGGGGGGGGTCCATTTTAGGTGAGGAGGGATAGCGTGCTAATGATAAGCAGACCTTGCAGTTTGATGTCTACATTCTTCAGTCTGGTGTGACATCATGGATTTTCTTTTTTCTCTGGCTGTGGGCAGTCCTGAATGCACCACTTAAAGTGACATTGAACCCTCAGATTTGTTAACATAAACCAATACTGTAATGTGTGCCTTACTGTAATCCATGGTTGTTTCCCTTCTCTTTGCTGCTCTTCCTTTTAAATCTGTATCTGTTCTCATACTGGGGGAGAACTTCTGTTTTGCAGCAGACTGCCTTGTCTCTGGAATGGCTACATGGTGTCTGTGCATAGGTTTGCAACCTAAGCCAGCACTACAGGAAGAGGCAGTCAGCTGCAAATGGAAGTTCTCCCCCAGCATGAGAAGACATGAGGATTTAAAAGGAAGAGCAGCAAAGAGAAGGGAAACTACCATGGGTTACAGTAAGGCGCACATTACAGTATTGGTTTATGTTAACAAATCTGAGGGTTTAATGTCACTTTAATGACATGAGTGTGACGTTTCCTGCAGCATTCTCTTGTGAGCTTAGGGCTACTTTATGACAAACCTTTCGGGGCTCTGACATTGTCTATGACATTAAATGTGCCTCCACCCTGAAGTGTTTCGGTGCCAGAACACAAAGCGATGAGCCTGCTGGGGACAGTGGTGATGAATCTAAAGCTCTTTTTTGGGGGGGTTTTATGGATTTGGACTTACTGTAAAAATGCTGCTGTAAATAACAATCCACAATTACAGAAACTCGTTTCAGAACGAATGTATTGTGTTGACATGTAAGAGTTCTGCCATTAGATATTATTGTATTTATTTTTTTAATTCATACTATATGGTTTACCAGAAGAATTTGTGACCAAAGCTGCACCTACATAGGCAACTGTATCTGCCCAACACAATTCTGTCTCGACTATTGAGTGATCTTTAAATACAGGCAAACCAAAACATTAAGGATTTTTACTACTTATGCCTATGAATCCCTTCCAAGATAACCATTTTTACGTCGGCAGTCTGACTCCATTGTACAACTGGGTTCCCAGTGGATATAAACTACATTATTTGCTTTATTGCTTGTTCTCATAACTGTTTTGTTCCTTTTTTTAAAAAAGAGAACTATGGGGTAAGTGTTTTTCCCCATAGTTCTCTTAAGGGTCACAGGAGGACATATACTAGCCTCCTCCTGTGACCCACAGCTCAGTATATCGTGAGCTACAGCTCGCGGTATACTGAGTCCACCGCAGCCGGGACAGATCCCGACATTACTGTCGAGATCCACCCAGCTGCATGAGTGACAGCTGGCTCTGCCTATCTAGAGGAAGAGCCAGCTGTACCCGCCCCTGGTCCGTTTCTCCAGTCAGCGCTGGAGGATCAGAGAGGGGAGGGGGGGAATCCCTGCAGGGAGCCGTGACTGACAGTCATGGCTCTCTGCAGGGAGATGATCAAGAAGTGAGCGAGCGCCGGTATGTGTTCGCTCACTTCCGATCTATTGAGCCGACCTGTGACAGTTTAATTGTCACACGTCGGCTCAAACTATGAGGATAAGGGATTTTCACTCGCCTCATAGTTCTCCTTTAAGTAATTGCATAAAAAACATTCAAATAATTTTCATTTTACCTGGCCAGCGATTATGTGCATCTCAAAATCCCGTCTTTAATGTGATTAAAGCAGATAAACATACAGAAGGGAATTTATCAAAACTGCAGCAGACAAAAACTGGAGCAGATGAGCATGGCAACCAATCAGCTTCTATCTTTCTTTTTCAAATCTTAACTGAACAAACTGAAGAGAGAAGCAGATTGGTTGCCATGCAC